ACTCACGTAAGTTTTTTTTTCGAACTGTTGGGTTGACAGGAACTGGGGGGAGGAAACAGGAGCTCACCCTGCTTAACGCGAAGGCTGGACTCGAACCGCCGAAGCGTCAGCCATTTCTGGCCGGCAACTTTCGGCGTCATTAAGCTGCTGCGCCACCGCGTCCCCCATTCAGGAACTGCAAGCAGTTAAATAGGAGTATCACCCGCAGAGCACCCAAGGGCATCTATACAGGTTCAGAGGGCACCCATAACTGTGCAACCATGTGTTGCACTGCATGTAAAAAAAGGCGACAGGTCTTCGCTCACACAGTCACGGCTACTGTCTTGACTTCTGTCCCTCCATTTTATGGCAGCAGAGGTAGACGGATTAAATAAGGAAAGGGTTAGGATTAACCCTCTTTCTTGCGTACCTTTCTTCAACCCTAACCAGCTCCATCTCAGCATGGGAGGGGAGTTGTGAAGATGACCAGTTTGATTTTTCATTGGCTGCCTGAAGTCTGCCCTGGGGGGGGGCGGGCGGTTATAATGCAAACTGGACAGAACCAGGATTTTGTGATTATGTTTTCCTTGATTTCTGAGGGCTGGTGGCTGGTTTTCTTTGGTTTATAAATTGTGACATCTAGGGGGGGAGTGTCAACCCACAGTGGCAGGAAAGCATGACTACAATTTCTAGAAAATGGGGGGAAAGGCAGTTTCAGGTGCATAAGAAGGGAATTTAAAATCTTTACGGCGGTCTAAGGTAGCCCATTTCCTGACCTCCGATCTCTAGTTGACCACTGCTTACAATTAATACTAAAGGAGAGGATATATGAAACTAAGTAAATTTAGGGAATACACAATGGGTATTAAACTAGACACATAAGGAATTCACACCCCCCCCTTCCCATGGCCTAACAAAATTTACCCATGGTTTCACTCTCCAAGTAGATTGGGAATTATGGTTGCTGCAGTCCCACACATCTAGATGGCCCCAACAGAGAGGTTGACTCCACCTTGAGTATCCTCAACCTCCAACATTTTTCTCAACTGCAACTCACCAGAGACCTCGACTTACCATTCATAGTCTTCCCTCGTGCAAGAACAATTGGAGACCAGGAATGGCCGATCAAAATCTTCCCCGTTGAAGCAAGTGGCATGAGGAGTTCGCCTTTTGAAGACCGTCTTGTGCCCCAGGAGACACTCATTCCCACGTTCATCGGAGGGGGACCACAGCTTATAATCATTTTCCGTACAAGGCACCCCTAGGAAATCAGCAGTGGGGTTGGGTTATTTTTTAAGTGGTGGGGGGAGCAGGGAAAGGAAAACCATGCCATGCTACAAAGACAAGCTTTTGCCTACACTGAACTTGTCAGTGTAACAAATGCCACAGGAGGTCAACTCTTTGACTTACCGAGGACATCAGTGGTATTGATCTGCAGAATCAGCCAACTGTGCCCATTTTCTTTGTAGGATCCAAAGATAGTAAAGATGGTGCTTTTTTCCCCAGGTTCTGTCAACAGGCCATAAACAAAGACAGGCTTTTCCGAGAACGTGAAGGTTTTCCAGGTTTCTCCTTCGTTCGTGCTGTACCTACGCAGAAAGAATGGCAAGGATGCATCGACCACCACCTTGGTCTCAGTCATGCTCCAATCCAGCAACTTTTGCTTCTGATAGCCCCTGTTTCTTGCTAATTGCCCCTAAGTTCAGGATATAGCCAGTGATGCAAGAACTATGAGCTGATTTTCTTTTTTGTTTCCTGTTGGAAGACAGGTAAGTTGTTTCAAGGCACACTGGGCCCATCAAGACCTGCAGTGACATTACGTGCCTGTTTTACCCCTCTCGATCTGAAACCTGAAAAATTATGTTCCTGGAAATTGAAAACTTGCTGCCAAATTTCAGCAGTACATTCTGGGGGATGGTGGGGGGCTGTGAAATGGAATTGGGGTGCAAATTGCCCACCCTTGCAATACAGGCTAAAACTGAACCAGGGCAAGGCCCTTCAAGGCCCCTGACAAAAGGGAAATCCAACCAACGCAGAGGCCTTTTACGTTCCATTCATCTCCATCTCTTCCCCAAAAGCCAGCAGAAGTTGTTCTGGCTGAGATTTGACTCCTGTTCAAAGCTAACAGTAATTTTTTGGCTTGTAATAAAGCTTAAAACTAAAATTGAGGACCACCACAATCTTGGTGTCACCATCAAAAAGTTACCCTCATGCATGTTTTGAAAACCACCTCAAGGACTTTCCGGAAGCTTTTCAAAGTGCATTATTAAGGAGACTGGGTCAGAGATCTGCTGTCTCTTTCAATCATCTCCCACAGTTTCTTCCTTACTGGAGGCTGGAAAGGGGAGGTGATTGGGGCTTCTTCCTACAAACGCTGTATTTCAAATCTGAGTTTCAAATTAGATTGCTCATTTGGACATGAACCCAATCTGCTGGAAACTTTGGCTATAGGGACTTAAGTGCAATTGACCCTCAAAAGAAGTGGTTTCATTTCTCAGGTCTTCAAATTCTCCACCTAGAAAGATTTAGATAATGAATATCAAGATTCCTTTTCCATTCTCTCAGGTGGCTTAAAGCAAATCTGGTGGAAGATAAATTATCCCGATTTATGACTCTGCTAGCTCAGGCAGAATTGTTGGTAGCCTTACTTACTTCAGCTGGTTGGTTTCTGCCCCCTGCGCCACGGCCATGAGGATGCCTCCGTGGTCTCCCCAAGAATAATAATGGGGCCCGGACAGGACCTGAGAGAGGAAGCAAACAAAGGCACTGGTCCAGGATTGCCATGGCACGTTTCAGATGAGTATTGTGTACCAAGAGAGAAATATAAACACGCATGCACAGGTAAATTCATAGGGCATTCTGAAAGTCAACATCCATGTTCCTGCTTGCTCTAAGAAATCCATCCAAGGCTGATTCTAATTGCCATTTTTCCCATCAATGCATCATGCAACTGGAACTCCTCCTCTCTGAAAAGTTAAGCAAAACTGGATATATGTTCAAATGTTCCAGAAACCCACTGTTTCCTCAAGTCTAATACATCTGGAAAGCACCAGATAAGGAAAAAGCCAAGCTAAGCTCTTGGCACCTTCAGTTTTGGCTGGTGGAAATCAGAAGATCTAGATGTTAGGATTTTCTGCTTATCCAGATGTCTTGGACTCGATTTCAGCTGGAAGCCCCAGTACTTGACAGCCGTAACGCACGAGGGAGTAATCAGTTGCTCCCAGACGTTTTTGCATTTGGTGAGCCCAGAGGCCAAGCAAGAAAAAAAAAATCCCTGCCTTCTGTTCGCTGCCTTCCTCTTCGCAGACTCGGCGAGAGCCAAACCAAACCCGCACCGCCCCCAAAGAGGAAGGGGAGGTGGCTCTGTTCACAGCATTTAAACCCTTTGCAGATGTCGGAATGCAGGCTCGGACTAGCACCATCTGATCAGCCCTTCCGCAAAGCCCGTAGCCGAGCAGGCCACCCAAACAGCCAAGGGCGCTTGCAGGGATGGGAGCCAAGCCCCACTGGGAAGGCAGCTGGCCAAACCCTTTTGGCTGCTCACCCTGCGCTCTCCCCTCCCTCCCTTGCCAAAGATCAGATCATCCCCATACACGTGGGTTAGCGTTTTGCCAAAGCAAACCTAGGACACAGATGCAGGCAAGGAAAGGACAACGAACTCCGTTCCCCATAAACGGGCAGCAGTGTTGCTTCCCAACTGGAAGAGGGTTGGGCCTGATTCATCAGCCTAGAGGTGCTGCGATCCGGGCCTGCACGAAAGTGCAGATCCGCCAAACCCAGATCCACTGGGTTATAAAAGGCATGGAGTTGCTGCCCTGATTGCAATTCATGCACATTCTTTTACTGGTTTTCTAAACCAAGCCGCGAGGGTGAAAGAGGCGCTGGAGTTTAAGCCTAGCGTCAGTTAATGTCTTGGTTTGACCAGACTAAAAGAAACAACCAGGATAGTTTCTACAACCCTAGGCAACACAGTTTTGGTTATGCCAGCTGGGGATGATGGGAGTGGTGGGTCAAAGCGTCAGGAAGGGGCAAGGTCAGGAGAAAGGTAGTGAACAAGGACCTACTTGCATGGCCCTGCTTGGAAATCAAATGAAAACAGAGCCAACATTCCCCATTGCGTTTGCTCTGGTGGAACCTGCTGAGCCCCAGAAACACAAGGTTGAGGCATCGTCAGCTGCGGCGCAGCTCTTTTCCCAGTGTTTAAATGCCTCCTGAGCTACAGGAATGCCCCCTGCCCCAGAAGAGGGCCTGGTATTTCCTTACCTCCTGCCATCTGACACCAGCACTGCTGGAAATGTACACATTCATTTTACTCGCCATGTTCTTCCCCACAGAACCTACAAAGAGAAGCACATGAATCTTGGAGTGATTCTTTTGCTTGTAATCTGTGAATGCCTCAAGACGGTGCCCATGGCTACAAAACAGAAATTTAACATTTAGGGGTATGGGGTAGGCCGATTTACCATCCCCAAGTCTGTCTCACCGGCACACAGACCAAACTGAATCAGGGCAAAAGAGACTGATTGGATGAAGACACACAACGGAGCCTTTCTCTATTCCCAGTTCTCTAAGCTACATGATCACTGAGCTAAGGAAAGTAACTGTGCAGGAGAGACACAGTACAGGAACTATGGCTGAGAAATCACTAATTCACTTTATGACCCATAAACTTCTAACAACCTTTCTACTCATCAGGGCAGAGCCAGCCAACTTTTCAACAGGCACCACTGTGTGATGTCCGTGGCAGGACAGGCTGCAATTTAAAAAGAAAAAAAGAAATTAAAAGGGTCCAAATCTTGCGAGACTTTGACCATCTCCCCTTCAAGACCTTGATGGCCTCCTGAGATCTCTGGAGGCAACGCTGATATCTCAACAAGATTTGGCACTTGTGAGATAAGAGTCCTTTTCATTTTCATTAATTTTTTAATGTACAGATTGGGGATTCTGTGGGTGCCTGTGAGGGACCACCTGGGTGCTGCAATGCACGGCAGATCCAGGTTGCCAACTTCTGATCTAAGAAGTTTCTTCTCGATGTTTACCCAACGCTGAGCATGACCCCCTAAAATGGTGCAGGACATCTAGTGGCCAGAGAGAAAGCAAGATGAAGTTATCCTCAATTGACATTGTGCTTTTACCATCAACCAGCCAGATTTGGGGGGAGGGGAGCAAGAGGATCAAAGCAAACCAAGCAAAAACAATGTTCTACCTGTTGCAATGATCAGCCCTGGAGCAGATTCTTTGGATAAGATGGGCATCCTGCGCAACTGGAAGTTGAGGAGCTGGCTCAGTCGTTGGGCCAAGTGAAGGGAACAACCCAAAGAAAGCTGGTGAAGATGAAACAGAAACATCACTTGCCTTGTCCTACCAAGAAAGCTGCATTAACCATTCTGCAATCTGTGTGTGTTATCAAGGGCCCTCTTGAAAAAACACAAGGCAGTTCCAAAAACCTGCAGCTAATTCCTGCTCACAGGCATTTATGTGTTTTCAGCACACGTAGTTTCAGTTGCATGCTGAAAAAATGCACCACCCTTTTGGCAAGGAGCACAAGTGTTGCTAAAACATCCTTTCCAAGCGGGTACATGTTTAGAAGTAATCAATTGAATCGTTAAAGGGTATCACAACTGCCTCGGCCAACATTCCTCATGCCTCGTGGAAAATTCGCACAGCATTTGTCTGCACAGAAGAATGGTGCATGTGTCCCAAACAATATGACCAAATTTCCCAGTCTATGTGCATATGTTCCAACAGGCCTCATATGCCTATGTATTCTTCATCTACAGCATTGACAATAAGCATTGGAGTCAACATCTGTCATGGTCTGGAGAATGACCT